CAGTATATGCCTCCTGTAATGGTCAAAGCAGTTTGTTAAATGATTATCACATTTAAATGAACAGCACTTTCACACGTGTGTCCGACAACATGCAGTACTGTTAGACTTGTCAGTTCTGCTTAGGAAGGTTCCTAACGGATGATAGGAAAGGAGCTTTGATACTTCCTTTAGAATCTCCTTAAGCTTAGGGAACACTGGACCATCCTTTAGGAAAGGAAAGGAGAACATTCTGTCCCACAATACCTTGCGGACGCAACCGTGACTGAACATTCGGTCTTTCACGGAAACAACCGACCGCGACCGAGTTTCATGTTTGTTGCATTAGATTGGATCAATGCATGCAGGAACGTTCAACTTCAGAAAAACACTTCTCAAAATGTTTTGACGTCTACGACAAATTAAAATATACAAAAATGTAAAGTCACTTCTAGAAGGTGGGGTCCTACTTATCACAGGAAGTGGGTGCAGCCTCTCTCAGATAAAAACCACTTGTTTAGAGACATCTCATCAGAACTAGAGATAGAGGAAGCAGAGAGACGGACAATCAAGATGGATGAGTTCAAACGGATAAAAATGTCTGTATTTCTCATTCTGCTGCTTCAGTCTACAGGTAAGAGTAAAGATGATGTGTATGAACAACAAGAATGTTAAAATGGCTAATTCATTAATTTAGTTAATTGAGTATTAATAGCTAACCTTCATTTGAACATGACAGTCAAGTAGTTAGTTTGTTTTCCAGGAGGTAAATAGTGAGTCACTTCTTTATGTTTCTCTGGTCTTTACAGCAGCAGCAAATGGACAGCCTTCCCTCTTCTTCACTGTCAGAGTTGGAGAGGAAGTCACTTTGCCTTGTAGCGGTGTGAGAGATGATCAGGACGGATGTAACCGTACTGACTGGCTCGTCACTAATTCAGGATGCACAACAGTAGAGCTGGTTGAACTTGGACAGATTGTTGAAGAAGCTCGAGCTGAATCAGACAGACTGAGAGTGACAGAGAACTGTTCTCTGGTTATAAAGAATGTCACAGAGGAGGATGTTGGTCGTTACTTCTGGAGACAGTTCAGATCAGGACAAGATGAAGACGCTCTGGTTCATCTGTCTGTTGTCACCAGTGAGTATATTTACATCATAGTGTTTTAAACTGTCTCTTTAGAACAATAAACTGAGACATTACAATAATTATGATCACACTGATGACGTTCATTTGACTCCTATTTTCTTTCTCTCACAATATCATCAGTGACTGAAGATCAGAACAACGATGAGGTGACGTTACGCTGCTCTGTGAAGGCATCTGTACGGTGCAGACACTCAGTGAAGTGGCTGTTTCGAAGTCGGGATGTGGATGAATATCAAGAAGATATGAAGACATCAAAGTCTCACTACGAGGCCTCTGTCACATTTCTGACTTCTCGTGTTGACTACAGATCAGGGTTTCATTTATTTACATGTGAAGTAACTGAGTACATGGGAGAAGTACTTCTGTTTCCCTTCAGCACTCCGTCCTCAGGTGAGAACACATGTTGAGATGTTTAAAGTCAAATCAAACTGACCCATTCATTACAAACAATATTTGTATTTTATGGATTTAAAGTATTCGTATTAAATCACAACAGATGGTTCACTAAAGACAGTTTGTTACTGAAGACTTCATTTTTAACTTCACACATGTTGTGTTCTTTTTAAGGAATACATCTGAACAATAATTACTTTATGAACTCATTTAGTTCCAGATAAAGTTACTCCATTTAGATCAAGTTCATTTAAATCTCTGATACATCTCTCTTTGTCCTATATTAGAACTCTAAAACCTACAACATGAATATCTTCTATGTTTGTATTCTCTCTCCAGGTCTCTTGAGGCTCATCGTGGTGTCTGTGGGTTTAGCAGCTCTCATAATGATCGTTGTGGTGGTCAACATATGGACAAGAATTAAAGGTGAGAACATTCACAGATGAAACGTAAATATATTTTATATTTTATTTGTTGAAACTCAAGTGGACTTTCTCTTTCAGAGAAGAAAACACAGATGGAGGAAATCACTGTGAGTTTTTACAACAAAATACTGAACTGTTTTTCCAGTTGTTTCTTTACACTCTTCATTATAATCTGTATAAAGACAGAAGAGAGAGAAACAGACAAAGGCTGCTTTACCTAAATTACATCACATCCTACAGGATTTTCCAAATGTAATGTTTGGATCTAAAACCAACTCAGTGTTGTTGTTGTTGTTGTTTTCCTCAGGTGCGTTATGATGTAGATGATGGTACAGTGAACTGAGAAAACATCAGACCTCCTGATGGAGTTTGAGCAACACTTCTGCCTCCATCAGACTCCACTGATCAACAACGTCTACATCCATCACCGTGTTTCACATCAGGAAGACTTTAAGATCATTTTGAGTTACTCATTGTTCTGTTCTAAGTTACATTTATTTAGCTTGGTTTTAACTTCCTTTAGCAGGAAAGAGCATTTCTCCTTTTTCTTTTGTTACTTCCTCATATGGCCTGACGAGTTCAGAGCTCATTTAAATATGTACTGATTGTTTTTGAAGATACAGCAGCTTGAGGTCAGTATTTTATCTCTGTGTGCACGAGAATCATTTGAACCTCCTTTCATTTAGCTGTGCTGTGTTGGGATGTGTTTGAGGGGTCTTCACCCTTAATGAAGTCAGTAACAGTCCTTTCTTTATAACATGTGATGACCATATCATCTGCAAATAAATACATGTTTATCTTAGTCTTACCCTGTGTTCTGTGATTCCTCCGTGTATTTCCAGTGTTTAGTGGACAGTGTTTATAACTCTGAATGTCCTTTACATCACATCTCATTCAGACAAGAAGTGCAAACAACTTCCATGACGAGCAAGCATCCTGCATTAGCTTTGAATCAGACCAACCATTTTAAGGTGCTTTATTTTTACATTAGAGCAAGTTAAATGAAAATGGACGGCTTCAAATAAAAAAAACCTTCAGCTCTCATGAAATATGATGTGAGAAATTGCAATGTTCACAGCAGCCTCAAACCGGACTGACCACAGATCAGATTAAACCTCGTGCAGCACTCTATGAAGTGTCTTATTTTAGGGACATGTTCTTTCCCGCCTATGAAATGTCATGTAATCCATGCCTAAAATGCTCAAACATGCACTAGTTGTGTTAAATGTACTTTTAAATACAGTTGTAAAACAAGTGGTTTCAGTGTGTACTTTTAAAAAAAAATTCTGTCCCACAATACCTTGCGGCCTGAACCGTGACTGAACATTCGGTCGTTCACGGAAACAACCGACCGTGACCGAGTTTCAAACATTGTTTGGCTGTCTTGACGTCCACGACAAATTCAAATATACAAAAATGTAAAGTCACTTCTAGAAGGTGGGGTCCTACTTATCACAGGAAGTGGGTGCAGCCTCTCAGATAAACCACTTGTTTAGAGAAATCACATCAGAACTAGAGATAGAGGAAGCAGAGAGATGGAGAATCAAGATGGATGAGTTCAAACGGGTTAAAATGTCTTTATTTCTCGTTCTGCTGCTTCAGTCTACAGGTAAGAGTAAAGATGATGTGTCTATGTATATCAGGAACATTTAAAAAGCCAATTTATAGATGTTGTTCAATTGATTTTATCAGCCAACCTTCATTTAAACCTGGGGTGTCAAACTCAATTTCATTGCCGGCTTCATTAGCATTATATATCATATATAATATATATATAAAATAACGTATTATATTACATTATTGCCTCTGCATTGGATTATTATTGGTTCTGGTAATAACTTCATATATAACTACGTCTGGAAGCAGAAGTCTAGTGCAAATATTCAACAATTGCTTAAAAAAATGGGTTTGGTAACAAAAACATGGTTGTGCATCGACATATTGTGAATGCACATAGACACAAAATGACTGCATGTGTTTGCTCACTAACATTATTCTGTGTTACTGTTATATAAATCCCGTGAATGTAGGAGACTTAGTTAGCCTCATCATATCTCATCAATTAGATATTGATAATTAGGTCAAGCATTATTTAAGTAGGCTATAAATAATTTTAATTCAGCAACAATTACATTACATGACATGTCACTTGTTAGACGCTTTTATCCAAAGCGACTTACATACTCAATACTGTGGACAATCCCCACAGGAGCAGTTTGGGGTGAAGTGTCTCAGGGACACAACGACATGCTGACTGCAGTGGGGTTTGAACCTGTGCTCCCCTGATCTGAACACCAACGCATTAGTCCACTGCGCCACACGCCTCCTTAATACAATCTTTGAATAGTCTGAAAGCCAAGAGTTTGAAACCCCCTGTCCCAGACCCTGTCACTCACGGGACGATCACAGAGGAGACGGTGAACGCAGAAGTTTTCCTCCTGCATTCACACACTTTACACTGTCTGAATATATGACGTTCATACTCTGCAAGCCAAGACCTCATGTTTTTGAATCGACCAAAGCACCCGAAACGCACGTTTTTTTTTTAAAACATATTGACACCGACTGACTCTCACTTCCTCCAGCTCTTTCACTGACCGCCTCACTCAGAGTGCCGCTGATTAAAACGGCTGATATAAAGACGCTTCAGTGGCATGTCACAGAAGGAGATGCATTGTGGGACATGTAGTTTATGGGCACCGTGGATCTATAAAGCGCCATATAAGCGTATAATAGACGTTGCATCTTCTTTGCAAGCTCTCGCGGGCCACATACAATGAGGTCTTGGGTTTAAAACCTGTGATTTAAACACTACAGTCAAGTCGTTTTTTTTCTGGGAGGTAAATAGTGAGTTTAACTCTTGGAATCCAATAATGAGGCATATTGAAACTTTGGTAAATGTAGGATTTTCCTAACACCGACTTCTTTATATGTCTCTCGTGTTTACAGCGGCAGTTAAAAGACAGCCTTCCCTCTTCTTCACTGTCAGAGTTGGAGAGGAAGTCACTTTGCCTTGTAGCGGAGTGAGAGATGATCAGGACGGATGTAACGGTACTGACTTATGGGCTCAGAACAGTCTCATAATACACACATGCACACAGAAGGATTCACACTTGTATTTCATGATCCGCAAAAGGATTCACACTTGTATTTCCGGATCCACACTTGTGTTTTTCAATGCACACACAAATGTGTTCCGTTTCATATACATGTAAATAAAATCCAAATAAGAAAAAAGTTTTACATATGTATTTTTGATCCTCACATATTTGTTTTCCGTTTAAAACCGCTGCACCTGCAAACACAAACCGCTTTCTGTGCATGGATCGCTCTGCATTCGTGTGTGGGTTTTTTGAGACTCCCCTGACGGTGACCCGATTCGTACTTGTAATTTTTTCTGTCTATAGCCAATCAGATGTCTCCTCAATTCTAAGCCAATCACATGAGCGCGCCCCCACAAGGGTAGATTTCTTGCGTTCATGACGTAGCGCTTCATGTACGCATTTTGCGCTGTCCGGAGCTGACAGGTCCATGGAGCCTGCCTGCTAGTGATGGGAATTCCGGCTCTTCTTGGTGAGCCGGATCATTTGGCTCGGCTCACCAAGAAGAGCCGGCTCTTTCGGCTCCCAAACGGCTCTTCAGTTTACCACATATTATACCTTTTATAATTCAATCAAATGTAGCCTTGTTTTGACTAATGATTTATATGTGTACACATATCACTTAAATTATTCAATACATCCTTTGTACGGAAGTATTCAAAAGTAAAAATGACATGTTTAATATCAATTATTTGCTGTGGCCAATTGTTTTCATTGCATTTACAGACCCTTGTATCTCTCTGATACCACCCAATGAATGCACAGACTTGCTTGTCGAACCACGCTACACAAAGCAGATAGCAACACCTATAACAAAACCCGAGGTGACAGGGCTTTCAGTGTTGCAGCTCCTAGACTGTGGAACAGCCTCCCAGTACATATCCGGACTGCTGAGTCTATTGAACTTTTTAAATCTCAGCTAAAAACTCACCTCTTTGCACTGGCTTTTAATACTAGTTGAACATTACATTTTTACATTTGTATGTGTTTTTTAAAAAATATTTTTCTAGTTATTGTGCTTTTTATCATGTTTTTAATTATTGTTTTATTATTGTACTCCCATTGTGTTATTTAATATGTATTGCCTGTACAGCACTTTGGTCAACTGAAGGTTGTTTTAAATGTGCTATATAAATAAATAAAGATTGAGATTGAGATAAAAACTTAAGCATAGACATTTTAAAAAATGGGCTACTCTATCGACATTTTAAAATTATATTTAAAGAAAAGGCCCTGACTAAACAGCAGGGCTCTATTTCAGTATTAACTATAGAAAAAAAGACAGCAACAGCTGACATCAAATCTTTGCCGAGCCCAAGGATAATCATAAATAAATAACATAGTGAAAATAAATATATTGCAATGCTCAGTACAGCAGCATCCAACCGTCTCTAATCATAAAAAAACATAATAAAAATAAATGTATTGCAATGCTCAAAACAGCAGCATCCAACAGTCTCTAATCCTTGGATATTACATGTCACTGCATGCATGCACGGAGCAGCTGTAGCGCGGAGATCATCATATCATTCTGTCTTGTATTACTTAACAACAACAAAATAACAAAAAAAAACGGCTCGTTCGCGGGCGCGAGCCGGCTCCCGTCGTTCACTTAAAAGAGCCGGCTCTTTGAGCCGGCTCGTTCGCGACCGACACATCACTACTGCCTGCAGGCGCTAATCTCAGGACACCTCCACTCTCAGTACATTACCACTTTCCGATCAGGAAATGCACGCAAATACAAGCCTTTATATTATTAAGGTACAGTGCCACTTTCCGAACCATTAATGAATGCTTGTGTACACAAAAACGGCAGGCAAAACTGTTTTAAATGTGTGTTTCCTGTATGGTGATCAGCTGCTTTATTTATGTCTGTATGAAGTTGTGAGTGTGGAGGGAGCAGCTACAGGTTAGCTTAGCCTAATCGATCAGTGCACTACGAAGCCAGTGCTAGACAGTGAACTGTCAACGGGGGGAGCCCCGCCGGTCATTATCGGCCGATATTCACTCTTAATAGTTTGATCGGTGCTCTCTATAAAGGCCGATCAGGAGAGCTGGATCTGATCGATATGGACATAAACGCGAGTGAAGTTTTAGCGAGCTGCATGAGAAACTGACGGGCTGTCAGGAGAGAGGGAGGGAGAGAGGAAAAGAGATGATCCTTACTCCCGTGTTATTATCCGGTCATAGTCCGGTAATTACCTAACGGAAACGCTGCTACACAATTCTTATTATTATTATTATTGAAACATGACCGGTAAGTTTCAAATTTGTCCGGTAAAATTAAATTCTGTCCGCGGAAACCCTGCTCCGGACTACGCAAAATGCGTATATGAAGTGACATGAACGCAAGAAATCTACCCTCGTGGGGGCGCGCTCATGTGATTGGCTTAGAATTGAGGAGACATCTGATTGGCTATAGATAGAAAAAATTACAAGTACGAATCGGGTGACCGTCAGGGGAGTCTCAAAAAACCCACACACGAATGCAGAGCGATCCATGCACAGAAAGCGGTTTGTGTTTGCAGGTTCAGGGGATTTAAACGGAAAACAAATATGTGAGGATCAAAAATACATATGTAAAACTTTTTTCTGTATTTGGATTTTATTTACATGTATATGAAACGGAACACATTTGTGTGTGCATTGAAAAACACAAGTGTGGATCCGGAAATACAAGTGTGAATCCTTTTGTGGATCATGAAATACAAGTGTGAATCCTTCTGTGTGCATGTGTGTATTATGAGACTGTTCTGAGCCCATACTGACTGGACCTTCAATCATTTAGGACCCAGAGAAGTAGATCAGGTTAAACGTGGGCAGATTGTTGAAGAAGCAAAAGCTAAATCAGACAGACTGAGTGTCGCAGAGAATTGTTCTCTGGGTTTACAGGAGGTCAGAGAGGAGGATGCTGGTCGTTACATCTGCACACAGATCAGATCAGGACGACAACAAGGAGAAGACGCTCATGTTTACCTGACTGTTGTTAGCTGTGAGTATTAACATCACAGTGTTGTAAACTGCATCTATAAATATACTGAAACATACCAGCAGTTATGATTACAGTGATGAAGCTAATTGAACTCTTGTTGTCTTTCTCTCTCAATATCTCCACCTTCAGTGACTCAACATCAGGACAATGATGAGGTGACGTTACGCTGCTCTGTGTTGAATAACGCATGGTGCAGACACACAGTGAAGTGGCTGTTCCAGGGTCAGGATGTGGATAAAGATCTCAAAGATATGAACACATCAGAATCTCACTACGAGGCCTCTGTGACATTTCTGACTTCTCATGTTGGATACAGATCAGGGCTTCATTTATTTACTTGTCAACTAACTGATGATCACACAGGGGAAGTATTTCTGTTTCCCTTCAGCACTCCGTCCTCAGGTGAGAAAACATGTTGAGATGCTCAAAGTCACTTTAAACTCACCGATTAATTAAATAAAACATTTGTATTTTATGGCTTTAAAGTGCTATAACTATATCACAACAGATGGTTCACTAAAGACAGTTTGATACTGAAGACTTTTATATTTTATAATAGGATCATTTTTAACTGAACACGTTTTGCGTTTTTGGCTTATTTTTAAAGAATACATCAGAAACCTACAACATAAATGTTTGTATTCTCTCTCCAGGTCTCTTGAGGCTCATCGTGGTGTCTGTGGGTTTAGCAACACTCATTATGATCGTTGTGGCGGTCAATATATGGACAAGAATTAAAGGTGAGAACATTCACAGATTTACAACAAAATACTGAACTGTTTTTCCAGTTGTTTCTTTACACTCTTCATTATAATCTGTATAAAGACAGAAGAGAGAGAAACAGACAAAGGCTGCTTTACCTAAATTACATCACATCCTACAGGATTTTCCAAATGTAATGTTTGGATCTAAAACCAACTCAGTGTTGTTGTTGTTGTTGTTTTCCTCAGGTGCGTTATGATGTAGATGATGGTACAGTGAACTGAGAAAACATCAGACCTCCTGATGGAGTTTGAGCAACACTTCTGCCTCCATCAGACTCCACTGATCAACAACGTCTACATCCATCATCGTGTTTCACATCAGGAAGACTTTAAGATCATTGTTTTGTATGAAGTTAGGTTTATTTAGCAGCTGGATTTGAACCTTTTAGCATTTTACTCTTTAAAAAAAAAAATGTTTTACTTTCTTATATTGCCTGAAGATTTCAGAGCTACTTTTAATATCTACTGATTGTTTTTGAAGATACAGCAGCTTGAGCTCAGTTTAATATCTCTGTGTGCTGTGTCTGCTGTGTTGGGATGTGTTTGAGGGGTCTTCACCCTTAATGAAGTCAGTAACAGTCCTATCTTTATAACATGTGATGACCATATCATCTGCAAATAAATACATGTTTATCTTAGTCTTACCCTGTGTTCTGTGATTCCTCCTGTATTTCCAGTGTTTTAGTGGACAGTGTTTATAACTCTGAATGTCCTTTACATCACATCTCATTCAGACAAGAAGTGCAAACAATTTCCATGACGAGCAAGCATCCTGCATTAGCTTTGAATCAGAACAACCATTTTTCTTTTTACATTAAAGCAAGTCAAATGTAAATGGATGTTTCATCAAAGACAGAGACCCTTCAGCTCTCATAAATAAGATGTGAGAATCTGCAATGTCGACTTAACTATTAGTAACGTTCGCTGCCTTATCGCTCCAGAAAGCCAACCCACCCCCCCTTACTGGATATCTGTTGTTTATCTTTGCAGCTGATCTAATACATTTCAACATCACTGCAGCTTCACACCGGACTGAACACAGATAACATATTGAACTCACATTAACCCCTCTAAAGGGTTTAGTTTGAGGGTAATTCCAGAATTGGAAGACATTTTCTGTAGCACCTGAAATGTCATATAATCGATACCTATAGTTGTGTTAAATATACTAATTACACTGCAGTGTTTCCCCTACCATTGTCTTGGAGGGGCGCTGCGCCCCGCCAACGGAGCCCCGTGCCCCCCCTGAAATTCAAGGTGTTTAAAAGAAAAATGTATATATATATATATATATATATATATATATATAGCACCAAATTGCAACTAATCTATATCTACTGTCACTTTTCACATTGAACATGTGCTCTTTTATTAAATAAACTAAACGCTTTCATTTTAAGTTGTGAGTTTAGTGTTTTTGACCCTAAGAAACACTGATGCATTAATCAATAACAATAATCCACAGCTCCTCTCTCTGCTCCAGAGGATTTAAAATATATATATCCCAATGCCACCCCAAATGTTTGCTCTAGAGTGGATTTTGTTCACATTCACATGACTGGGAAGCAGTCAATTTATTGCAAATGAACATTGTTCTTTTGTCATTGAAAGAGTAATTTGTTGATGGTCCCCAAGTGAACACCTACCGGCCTTTTGCAAATGTTTTGCACACGTCTGCACAGCCCTCCACTTTAAAATACAAGTCACTGTAGTTTGCCATTTACTCATTGTCCTATGTGTTTTTTTAGCTTTTACGGTTCTTTGTATATTTACATTTACATTTGGTGTAAATACTTGTCTTTAGTATTATTTTGTTATGCTAAATTGTTTCTTAAAAATGCTTGGTTTTTATTATCCACATATATTTATTTTTTAACTACGGTACTATTGCAAATTACAATTCCCTGTTTTTGCTAACAATAAACTTGATTCTGATTTTGATACTTCTTGTATGGCGGAGAAGAGTTCACCATCGAAATACAGCCAGGATAAACTGACGCTGAATATCCAACCTAAAACCTAGCTTCACCAAATATCCAACCTAAAACAAACTTCACCGAATATCCAACCTAAAACTAACTTCACCGCCATACAGAACCTCACTACAAACATAGCTAACGGACAGTTCAGTAAACAGTAGCGTCACACAGAGAAAGGGGGTGTGTATTTCACTCACCCTTATTTGTAGAGGAAGGCCATTATCCTGTCTTCTTACATACAGTAGAAGTGAAGTGGTCAATAACCGTTGAATTCCCGCCAGCCTTCATAGTACAGCGGATAAGCACAACAATTGTGCATTTTATGAGAAAAGCATGACATTTCTAACATAGTTAGAGCATACCATAAGGTTTATTTTCAGATGTGGAGGGAAGTCAGATTTGACCCGTGAGGACCGTGAGAGGTCAAATCCAAGATGGCCGCCAGTCTCTCGGGTCAAATGTTCAAACACGCTTAATTTTGGAACCAAACATTGTAGAAAAACATTTAAGGTGTCATATCCAACTAAATTAGGGATGCCCAATCATTTGGTGATACTTTTGAGATCGCCAGAATTCAAGAAAATGCATTTAGGTGAAGATAAAGGTAGAAATTGACCAAAAATAAGCTGTCAATCAGTTGAAATTTGGTGTGTGTGTGTGTGTGTGTGTGTGTGTGTGTGTGTGTGTGTGTGTGTGTGTGTGTGTGGTCACCCAGCGCTAGCATTACTACAGAGACTGGAGGAATATGGCTTTACTTGGCACAGTCTGCATGCTGAAGCAAACATTTGTTTTTGTCTTCAAATACATACTAACATGATTGTGACGAGCATAATATTTGCTCCCCGCCCAACTCTCTAAGTGCTTGAACTCCGTGACAGGAGGATGAAGTACCGTATGTATAAATGGATGGAACTATCAACAAAACAACAGCGTTTTATTCCCCAATGTCATATTTAATAGAAAAATAATGATGCACCACTTGTTGGAGAAAGAAGAATGGGGAACAGAAAGGTTTAGAGAGGGACAACATGCTGAAACCTTGCAACTTCAGTGCCAGAGAAAAAAGGTACTGTGAGTACACTTGTGGTTATTGTCCTCATGTTGCACATAGAAAATTCAATTAAGATGTTTAACGCATGTGGGCAAAAATCCATCAATCTTTCAATTTTTTAAAACTTGTTATATCCTTAGAGTCATTTAAAATGAGTTTTTTTCTCCATGCCATGGAGTCTAAATGGGTAAACCTTTGTATTTGTAATTGTACAGCCATGCTAGGACAAACAAATCCCCTTTGCCAATGTTCTCTCTGCCACACACACAACATACATAACCCTTTCTTTGCATGACCTCTAAATGTCCATGTGAGCCACTAAAGAACAGAAAAAAAGCTGCGCTACCTTGGCTTTATAGGTGGACAGGCAGGGAATCGAACCCCAACCCTCTATAAGTGGAAAGGGACAGCGGTGAACCTTATAGTTGAGTGCAGCCCTTTGTTAACAGCGAGGGTTAAGAGAGCTGTTTGTGCTCTACATGGAACTGTTTTCCATCTCCCTCTTTGGTTTACATTATTATTATTGTTTTTCTATTAAATATGACATTGGGGAATAAAACGCTGTTTTGTTGATAGTTCCATCCATTTATACATACTTCATCCTCCTGTCACGGAGTTCAAGCACTTAGACTTAGAGAGTTGGGCGGGGAACAAATATGATGCTCGTCACAATCATGTAAGTATGTATTTGAAGACAAAAACAAATGTTTTCATCAGCATGCAGACTGTGCCAAGTAAAGCCATATTCCTCCAGTCTCTGTAGTAATGCTAGCGCTGGGTGACCATAAATCCACTGGAATATACCACACACACACACACACACACACACACACACACACACACACACACACACACACACACACACACACACACACACACACACACACACACACACACACACACACACACACACACACACACACACACACACACACATTTTGCAAATTTCAACTGATTGACAGCTTATTTTTGGTCAATTTCTACCTTTATCTTCACCTAAATGCATTTTCTTGAATTCTGGCGATCCCAAAAGTATCATCAAATGATTGGGCATCCCTAATTTAGTTGGATATGACACCTTAAATGTTTTTCTACAATGTGTGGTTCCAAAATTAAGCGTGTTTGAACATTTGACCCGAGAGACTGGTGGCCATCTTGGATTTGACCTCTCACGGTCCTCACAGGTCAAATCTGACTTCCCTCCACATCTGAAAATAAACCTTATGGTATGCTCTAACTATGTTAGAAATGTCATGCTTTTCTCATAAAATGCACAATTGTTATAATATGAGAGCTTATCCGCTGTACTATCAGGTCCTCCACAACATTAGAGTTAACTGATATGTAGCTAGCTAACTAGCTGCTGAAGTGTTGCGCTAAGCTAGCCACTTCGCCGGACATCATTTTCGTTATTAAAAGTCAGAATTCCTAATTTTTCCTCTCCGTACGAAGCTATAGTAGTCCGGGAGTTGTCCTGCCATAGCATTTAATTTAGAGTTGATGGTTAATTTAGTTTAAAAAAAGGTCGTTTTCCTCAAACTTCAATCTCCGTAACTGCACTTGCGAATGTTGTTGCCTGGTAACGTTGTTGATGTAATGTGATTGGTCGGGAGCCAGAGGCCGGTTGGCTTCCCTTGACCCTGACCTATCACAGGGTGGCAGGGACCGATGAAGGCCTCCTCTGATTGGTCAATTCCTCAACATTTTTTTTCACCAAGGTAGACCATGGATGTATAATAATAATAAAGACCAGCGCCATATAGATAGAATTATATTCTATTATACTGCTCTGATAAAGACTAATTACCGTTTAAAGAACATATGAACATCATATAATTTCTATACAAAATAATTCACATCAGGGGATGGGATGTAAAATAAAAAATGACAAAAAAGCAGTGCTACTATATTGCTTTAATTCTTGGTAAAGATGTAGAACATTTGTTTTGGATGGAGCACATCTCTTTTTATGAATATGACATTTCCCTACAATTAAAGTTAACTGTACAAAATAAAACAAATCTGCATCCATACAACTTATCCCATAGTTGTATTGTTTGTCCTGTTTTTCATAATTCCAAAACATTCTACAACACATATACATTCATTGTACTTCTTAGAGGAAATTAGAGGATGCAACCCTCTTTATTTTATGTCATACAAGTACAGTACACACTAGCACACACACGAAATGTAACCTCTGCATTTAACCCATCCTGGGAGCAGTGGAAGTACAAGAAGTACAGGAATATTCAATATCAAGTCTAAATCTTTGCAGTGTCTTGTTTGCAGGGTATATTGTGTCACTAAATAAACCTCCTGAACGTTATTGAGCAAAAAGTGCGTTTCCAATCAACCAAAAATGTGTTTCCAATTGATTTCTCCGTAAATCCAATTTCTTCTGGCCTTCTACAGTGAGTGTAATACCGCGTTTCACCACACATTCAGCATCACATTTTAAGCGGCGCTGTTTGACTCTTTGTCTAATACCCAATGACAAAAGGGGAGAGATTAATTAACCTTACTTAACGACGTAGGACTTTTAATCAAAGTTATAACTACTGTCTGAAGAAACAGAGG